GGCACAGGAGGGGTCACGGGGACCCCATTCTACAGGGCGGACACCACACCAACAACACCCAAACAATTCGTGATTTATTTAACACCTTCCTACCAAGTCGTACGTTATTCATTTCGATGATCAGGCATGAGAATATGGCTGGTGTAAACCAACAGAGATGCACATGGGCTGAGATGCTGCCAGGGAACCTAGACAGAAGACTGATTAGGCTTCTCATACGAAGCCCTTAACTCAAAAACCTGAGCACAAGGCAGCATCTTCAACCCAAAAGAACAAGTCGCCAAGCATGTTCCGAACCCCAAGCCTGGAGGACCAGGAGACTGTGTCAGATCGCTAATCATTGGCCAATCTGGAATGAGAGACTACGTGGGTGTCGGACGGACACCATCCAGTATGGCTCAGTGGATCAAGGAGGAAAACAAACCGTCACAACACACCAGTTTGTTCTTGACGACTTTATACGCAAACGAGTTTTAGTATTCCAAACAAAATCGCTACGAAACCAGGGAACCTAAGGCCAACGGAGGCTCGAAACAAAAGGAACCAAAGGACCAGTTGGAAGGTATCAGACACACACACACACAGTATATCTAATAACCTACTTTTGCACGCCTGTTGGGCACCACGACCTTTGCCCTCCGAATCATTCAGTGGCAGGCCAGTGGAAGGCTTGGTTTGTGCAAGGCCACCAGCACCACCGGGGAGGATGTCAACCTTTGACCCACGGGCACCAGTCCGTAAGCTCTGTGCGGGCAGATTCTGTTGCGTTTTCGGATCTTCCAACAGAAGGTAGATAGCCGTGACGTTGTTGAAACATTGATGTTCCAGTGCTTCGCGCACCTCGGACGGTTGATAACCCATTTTCTGCATGATAGCTAGAGGGATAGGCCGGAGGAGGGAGAAAAATGATTGACACTTGGACAAAATAGGATATAACTGGACACAAGGTTGAACGTTTGACGCATACTTAGTGCAAGGTGTTATAATCATCAGGCTTAAAAATCGCGTACTTGATATATGGTGGTTACAGCTGCCACAATTTCGTTCGCCGATGATCTGGGGAGGTAGGGCTGGATACTTACCGATTGTGAGCGGTAGCTGGTATAAATGAAACGTGAGCGTAGGGGTGTCGATGGGTTCCCAATCGGGGGGAGGGGAGCTATACATTGAAGGCAACAACTTGGATGAGTAGGGACCATTGAGCGCGTGACTGGGCAATGTCTATAAGCGCCTCCAAACATCGATACGTCCCGTCTCGGTGTCGGCGTTCATAATTCGCTGTCAAATCATTGCTTGCCCCCCCCCGTACATTTCACGTGGGTGTGCGAAGCATGAATCATAGTTTCGGAAAAGAAATGAACGCTATTTCGACTAAAGTATACGCATTTGTAGATAAACCCCAATTCTAGCTGTGTATTTATTCTAGAACGAAGTAGTACTTTTTGTTTTCGAACTGTGTAGGGCTGGTCTATGATGAAGCGCACCGAGATCCTGCAAGAAAGAAGGTACCAACTGGAAGTGAACAATCGCACAATCGCAACCGTGCGCGCGGGCACGTACGCGACGATCTTCTTGTTTGTGTCGTTAAATGAAAATAAAAATAACTGGTTTCGGCAGTGTTCTTTTTAGTTGTGTGTGTGTGTGTGTGTGTGTGTGTGGGCTAGCACAACACCTGCGTCCAAGTATCCACCTTCATCCGTATCGACGTGCGCTGTCTTGTATCAGAACAATCCAAAATGCTGACAAAGCTTCGCATTCTATAAGGAACCGCATTTTCCAGTTTCTGGAAAGCCAAGCTCAAGTATAGACACCAGAGGCACCCATCTGAAAAGCGAGTCGCATGAAGGGTCCGCGGACTTTGTAATGTACTACTCATAAGTTCGTCGACAGCCCACGACCGGTTTCGCCCTTTTTGGGGCTCATCAGGTAGGCACAGTCCCCGTGTTTCCGTCAACCTTACGTTCTACTTGAAGTCCGCGGACCTCTTTTTAGGCCTGGCGACACCATGAACAACCCGCCAGCCAAAAAACGAAGTGAAAAGTGTAAGACAACAGGGTTGAACAGTCCATGAGACTGAATTGCCCTCGACACTGATTTTGCCATGCCATCCGAGGGAAGCACGAGGGCCAGAATATTGCCAAATTGCACAAGCCTGTGAGATAAGCAGTTCAGACACCGGGACTGGGTTCGAACCACGGACCTTCCGGTCAGTAAGTTCTCACCCTAAACAATGAGCTTTCTCAAGTCAGCTAAGAGACACTGCCGCCGAAACACCCCCACGAAGCATGCACATCGGGTGTTTGAGATCCATGCAATCAAACATGTTCTCGACGGAACTAACTAACAAAATTAGCGACACGACAAGGACTAGAGACATATTTGTTGTGCGAACGGAAGGTGAGCACATCACGCGCATATAAAAAGAAGAACAAAGACGAAAGCAGGCATGTGAATTTCACCACACGTATCACCAGAACAACACCACTGCTCTTAGACAAGGAGGCGAATCCTCGATGCACGCGGCATAATTAGAGAGCTCACAATCAACTCAGAATCAACACGACGTCCCATAAATATACCACTCGACCTGGCACCAGAACACCAAATACAAACCGAGGGCATTAATCAAGACAAATGACCGAACGGCTGTTTAGAATTCTACCCGCAGATAATGAACATCAATTAGAGAATGCACGAAAGATAATCCAGGTGTGAAGTTTGAATATCAAAATGTCCCCAAGGAGAGAAGAGTGTGTGTTTGGTCGCGATGGATAAGTCGACAAAGAGTTGATTCAATGTTTCAAATCAATGCACAATTCAATTACAATTGTCCACTGGTTCCAAAAGATTTCACTCTAGCGTTATTGATTTCATCGTGTGTTGGGATGCATTTTATTGATTAGTATTGACCAAGTAGGAAGAATGGGGACGGATTAGAGAAGAGAAACAACAACGTCAGTGGTACTATTTGAATTTGAACCGATCGATAATTTCACATACCTAGTCTCACCGGATCATTGTAGTTGGCGACGGGTTCGGAATAGGGTTCCAAAATGCATTCCTCATATCCGATGTTGAGCCATTTGTCACTCATGATTGTCTATGGTATGGGAGAAAATTTGTGGAAATTACGTCAGATTATATTGAACAATCATCTACTGGAACCTGTCCCTCTTCCGCAACAAAACAAGTACCAGTTACTCAACAAGGATGAAATGTTGTCATACGATCTCATGCAAGTGGAAAGGTTCGACGCGTGGACAAGAAAATGCTCGCGAACAGAGACACAATACGACAAAGAAAAACAAGTCTGCATTATCCGTACGTGTCGACGGTTTGAGTAACGGTCACCTAGTGAGTTGGAATTCAAGTGTGAAAGTAATTTTTCTCCACTGTGGCACTAGCATCCTTTCCTTGCACAGCTGTCATGCCTCACCCCAAGAAGGAGTCAAGGGGGCTAATACATACTGTCGGCTTGTCCAAGTCTAGACAAGGGAAGTCAAGATGCTGGGGTGCGTTTGAACCACAGACCTACCGGTCACCAAGTCTGTGCCTTCAACGATCAACCATATCGAGTAGTGACGGTGTCAAGTTTCCACGCCTACATACAAGAAGCCAGTGCGCGATTCGAACGACGGGACACTCGGCTTATTTCATACCCATCCAGAGTGAAGTAACGGTCAGATCCAGACCCCACGCTAGCAGACGCAAATGGATTCATATAGATAGTGCGAGTGAATTACCTGAAGGATGAAAACACTTAGGGAATCGAAAAGTTTGTTACTCCCCGACCTGCGAGACCCTTAGCCCCAGGATGGTGTCACGTGGCCCGCCGGGGGGGGGGAGTACACACCACCGCAACAGCACACAACTATGATGCTCCGCGGAAAAGACTTTTCGTGTTTCAATACCAGGATTGCTCAAACAGTACACACAGGCGGTGAAAACATTGGAACAATCTTCAGAGAAAATATTACCTTGCAAAAGGTGAATTAATCTAGGCTGAGTAGGTCCGTACGCCAAGGATAAGTTCGACTTACATAGCCCTGTTTGTGCCATGTAAAATCGATTCGATAGGATGAGCCAAACTCATGTTTGCCGCTGATTATGTAGGAAGCAACATGGACACATAGATGGATGTGATCTAATTTAAAATCGATATCGGACTGGAATGTGCCAAGGGGGCGAGATGGTCCAAGTGGTTAGAGAGCGAATTAATTTACCAAAAGGTCCGTGGTTCGAACCCAACCTCTGCCTCTCGACCTACCTTGTCTAGGCTTGAGCAACGTGTCAGTATCCGAGCCTTCGTGCAACCTTCGGGTGGCATGGCAGTTAGGCACCGAAAGGGTACTACAGCTGAACGATTATTTTTTATTTCATGTCTGGATATGCCAAGCCCCTGACTGGTCTCTAGAGGAACCGCCTCAACTCGTGTGCGGAATAGGAAGATGTATTTGGACTCAAGTCGCGAAGAGAATGTACCGCTATCGAAATGGGTTGTCGCAAAGGTAGAAATTCCATGAATCCACTCACTGGTCGATTCTGACAGTGCAAATATTGAACCGGCCTCCATCAGGTCTGTATTGGGAAAGAACAACACGATCGCTCTCTTTTTACACTGATGGCGTGTATCCACCATGTGCCCTTTGAATGGCTGAGCGAACCGGCTAGTTGCCCATACATCAACATTGAATGCACTGAACGAAAAAAAACCGGGGGCATTATGAGACGCATGCGCTGGAAAAATGGCTAAAATTTTTCCGTGTGCATCTGTGCCATGTGTCCTTCCCACGTCCAGACCCTGCTTCGCACATCAATATAACCGGCACTTCCTACCCTAGTACCATCTTATGGCCATATCGTAAGTTCACCTGGACGATCATGTAAACAAGAGTAGTACACACGTACTACACATTAGCACTTGCATTTCGTCGTCGCCAGACTGAAAAGTTTTTCCCATCCTCCCTCGAATGGTACTTAACCACTCTGACCTGACGTGACCTCGTCCGAGAGTGCTGGGAATGCACAGAATCGGTTTAGTGTTGCTGACTGATCACAGTGAGGATTATCGAACTTGGACGGTTGGACAGATGGGGGACATCAGGCTGAATTCGATTATTGACCCGTAGTGGAGATCACAGGAGCTACACTGTTCCACGGGTTGGCCCTAGACTGATGGACCGGACTGGACTCACGAGTTACGTGTCACAAGTATAGGTAGTCAAATCGAATGCTCAAGATATACACAGAGGGCAACCAGATAAGAAACGCTGGCGAGGGTTAACCAAACGGAGTGGAGGAAATGTCCCCGCTCCGCTTATCCGTGACATGGTTGAGTAGAGTTCAGACAGAGGACACAAGTAACAGCGTTAGCAACATTGTCATGTCACGACTTGGCTTGCACTTTGTGACTTGTGGGGCAAATTGGGGAACACGACTGGGGCGTCTGATGCACATGGATATTTTGACATACAGCTGTAGCAACCGTTCAGTGCCTAGCTGCCATGCCACACGAATGAGGCACGAGGGCTGGGATACCGTCAGGTTGCCCATGCCTAGACAGGGGAAGTCGAGAGGCAGAGGTCGGGTTCGAACCACGGACCTTCCGGTCAGTAAATTCGCGCTCTAACCACTTGGTCCGTCTGGCCTCCTTCGTCTGATTTCGTGAGGGAGAAATGGGAGAATCATCACCCCACTGACTGTAACATGAAGTAATCAGGCTTCCACATACATCAGAGCAGAACATGGTACCTGCGAATCACAGTGGTTTTGAGGGAAGGCTTAACTGAAGCCCAGCTGAATCGTTTCACCTCCCGGTAGTAAATTCGCGCTCTAACCACTTGGTCCGTCTGGCCTCCTTCGTCTGATTTCGTGAGGGAGAAATGGGAGAATCATCACCCCACTGACTGTAACATGAAGTAATCAGGCTTCCACATACATCAGAGCAGAACATGGTACCTGCGAATCACAGTGGTTTTGAGGGAAGGCTTAACTGAAGCCCAGCTGAATCGTTTCAATTCCTACGCTGTTCGAGATATCACATTGGATGTTCTTGAAGGAAACTACTCACAAGGTTGCCGAAAACTCTGCGACAGCTCACGATCGCTTTCTCCCCTCTTGGAGCTCATCAGCAAGGCGAGTTTCCATAAAGAAACCGAGCGACTGGACTCTGTCGGTTGTTTGCAGTTGACTATTAATCTCCATTACAAGCCGTGGACATGAAGGGTCGAATCATGTCGATTTCAACGTAAAAGTCATCCCAAGACGTCCTACTTGAACGTCACCGCTTAGCGGACTTGCCAAGGCATGGCCAATTTTTGTTGTACACGCCGAAAGGGACAATATAGCTCGATAGTAAATTCAGACGGGCAGCTGCTTCAATCATACCCAGAGTATTTTAGGACTAGGCTTGTTGTTACCTGCGCGCATCAGATGACGGTGAGTTCACTAATTTGTTCGAGAAATTCCATCGAGATACTAGTAAAGGGAAACCGATTGGGATAGGTGGTGCTGAGCGAGATATGCGTCACCAATTCAAAAGCTGATGCATTCCTGACAGCTACTGCATACGGCCTTCGTGAAGAGTGGTGCGACAGTCTGGGTGACTTATGAAATCCATTGAGCAGTCATCATCGACAGCATGACATCAGTGGTCAACACCGATGCTTCACTGCCGTACAACCATGGCTTTATTTAAAGTCTTATTGTAAAGAAAAGAATAAGGGTGGATGGGGGAGGCTCTTAATGCTAGCTTACCACAATCATTCCGAGGTGCTTGCACCTCCAGACATTCACTCAGGCAATCCGGATAGAAACTGACAACAAGAACGCCACTGACATCGGTTGGCAGCCATATCTTGTAGTGGCTCCAACCAGGCACAGTGAGGATCACGCGGTCTCCATCCTGGAAGGCGAGTAGCATCGACAGCACCCAAGCGTTTCGTGATCTCCTTCATACTCCTCTGTCAGGCAAGTGTTGGCCACCTCTCTGTTTACGCCACTCTGAGTTGGGCATGGAAAACAGCACTCTCTTCGGCAAACGATGGCTCGGCGTACGCAACACACATGTCCCAACCAACGCAGCTTCTGGTGCTGGACACATTCCCCAGTGGAAGTACCCGTTGCACTCACAGAGTCTTCTTTCGTAATGGTCAATTGGCAAAGGCCTGACAAGCACAGGCTCCTGACCCAACAGACTGGTGAGTAGAAAAAGCGTGGTAATTTCTTCGCTTCAATTTGGAATACTCGAATAGCCTCAAGCCAACCAACAGTGCCTTGTTGTCAGGCTTTTGAACTAAAAGTTTTAATTGAAGACCCTAATCGTCTAGGTTTGGGCGCCATCGTAGTACCTCACCACATGAAACCACGAATCTCTACAGATGATGATGACGGTCATAGACAGCCGGTTGGTGGGAACAGATCCCGGGAAAACGTTCCCCGTCCAATGATCATTACTCTCAAAGCGGTCATCCGACGTTACAGATCAACCGAACAAAAACGACCGTAGAGTTGCGATTACCATGGTTACGGCGAACAAAAGTGACAAAGAAGGAGAACCATCAGAATAGAGGATTAGAGAAGGAACTAGTTTATATCCACACGACACGATGAGCAAGTTGAATTGACGGACACAGTGGTTGCCATAACGACGAGTATGAGGACCAACAAGGAGACAAGGTGTGACATGGTCAGTGCCAAGAAGAGTACACATCAGAGTATGGTGACGGGTATACACAGTGAGATTTTGTACCGAAAGGGCCATCTCATCCGAGTAGAACTTGGAAAAAACTGGTTACATCGATATAACTACCTCACCCTACTAATAAGGTTTCCCATCAATCAATTATTGAGTTACAGTGAAGGAAACGGAGAGGAAAGAGAGAGTTTTGAATTGGAAATGTGCGCCTGTGACACCAGTGTGGTGTGAACCTAGATTTTAAATAAGTGTACTGTGACTTCAACCGACTGTTTACCTCTTCCCACTCAGTTTGGTCCCGGAATCAGTTAGATTTTTTTTGTCTTTATCAGTGTCCATGTGAATGCTGAATGCGACCGAGTACTGATACGGTCAAATCATCATCTGTAAGTATGGTG